GTATATATATGTATATAATCGTATTGTGAAGGCACAATAGTTCGAAAACACAGGCTCGTTGGTTTAAATAGTGTGATTTGATTATTAGTAAACAGTGGATGAATATTTTGTAATATTTTCTGGTCTCGTGAGATTTTTGAAGCTTCACATCTTTAAACATAAAAAAACAAAAAGAAAAGGCCACACACTGTCCTAAGTGGTTTCATGCAGAAACCACTTGTGTGAATTCTTCCAGCTGCTGGTCAAACAGGAACTTGTTCTGGTTTCATGTGGTTTAATGTTTGTGTGACTCCACAGTGGACTGTGGAATGTTAGCTTTAAAACCATTAAACCATGTGAGCTGGATTATTTGATTAAAACTTAACCAAATCATCTTGTTCAATTCAAAGAGCATCTGTTAAAAACTTTTCTATCCCAGGAATCAGTGTTATCTTACTGCAGGACAGATTAATATTTAATCTGTCATGATCAGTTTGGTTTAGTTGAAACTATTCAAGCTCTGAGGCTGTGCTCCAGCCAGTCCCAAAGCTTGTTGCTTCTGTTCTTTGGATTCCAGGAGATCAGCATGAAGAAGGTTTCTCTTTCATTGTTGTTGTCTGACCTGAATGTGTGTGTGTGTTAAATTAGGTGTTGTCCATAGAGAAGGCAGAGAGCACCAGCCCCCTTCCCAACCCGGTGATCGTGAGTGTTCGCAGTAAGAAGGCCTTCCAGCTGATCGAGCTGCAGGACCGAGATGAGCTGGTGGAGAACATGAACTGCAGACTCCGAGCTGTGCAGTGGAAACAGTCTGTGTTCCGCAGCAGGAAGGACAGCAGAGGCAGTGTGGTGAGTTACACACACAAACTCAGCTAAACAAACATGTTGATGATTAAACCAGGTATCTGCACATCATCCAGGCTCCATTTATTCATTTTCTTTATCTAACATCACATCTTCTGAAGATTTCTACACACTTATACCAGTTCAGTTTGAGTTGTTGGATGAAGCAGGTGTTAAATATTATCATTAAAGCTGAGAAAGTCTGATTTGACTTCTTTAAAGGATCCATGATTAGTTGTAACATTAGAGTTTATTTAATAAACATATATTTAACTGTAAAATAAAGACTGTAAAAATACTGTAGGATGTTCAGTTTTGTAAATGTTTTAAAGTATGTTTTAACACGGACGGAGCCATTTTAGGCGGCACGGTGGCTCAGTTAGCAGAGCTGATGCCTCTCAGCAAGAAGGTCACTGGATCAAATCCCGGACCGGGGACCTTTCTGGGTAGAGTTTGCATGTTCTCTCCATGCATGCGTGGGTTTTCTCCGGGTACTCCGGCTTCCTCCCACAGACCAAAAACATGACTGTTAGGTTAATTGATAACTCTAAACTGTCCCTAGGTGTGACTGGTTGTTTGTGTCGTTTGTCTCTATGTGTGTCTCTGTGATGGACTGAGACCTGTCCAGGGTGTACCCCGCCC